TCACAGACAATAACCTTAGAGATAAGTGATGTATTATTCTATTGCTTTTGAAACAGAAAATCTTTTGGTCATCATTGTCCTAAAGATGGTTCCTTACTTCCTTTGAATTTCTTATTTCTACCTAGCCCTGCTCTTTGTCAGCCAATAAGAAAAGAGTTGGACATAATGTATAACTGAAAAGAAATAATATTTTTAAGAAAGTGAATCCCTCCAAAGCGCAATCGCCTGAAATTCTGCTGTCAACTACTCATTCATTTATTCACTCAACAAATGAGCCTTGTGAAGCCACCTGGAGCCAGACATGCTATCCAACAAGATCACATCCAAGGGCAGCTAAAGCCACACCTAAAGAAAACAACTGCTACAGTTGTACACCAAGTCTCATGTTGACATGTGATCCCTCATGCTGAAGATGGGATCTGGCAGCAGGTCTGGATTATGAGAGCAGATCCCTCATGTACAGCTTATTGTCGTTCTCTCAAGTGAGTAAGTTCCTGCTCTATTAGTTCCCACAAGAGCTTCTTATTTTAAAAGTGTCTAGAATCTCCACTTGCCTTTACTCTTGCCATGTGATTTTTGCATAGGTCGGCTCCCCTTCATCTTCCACCATAACTGAAAGCTGACTGAGTTCCTCAACAGAAGCAGATGCTGCTGCCATGTTTCTTGTACAGCCTGCAGAATGGTGAGCCAAATAAACTGATTTTCTTTATAAATTTCCCAGCCTCAGGTATTCCTTTATAGCAACATAAGTGGACTAAAACAGAAAATGGGTACTGAAGAATGGAGTATTGCTATAAAGATATATGAAAATATGGAAGGCATTTTGGAACTAGGTGATAGGTAGAGGTTGGAAGAGTGTGGAAAGCTCAGAAGATGACAAAAAGACAAGGAAAAGTTTGGAACCTCTTAGAGACTGGTTAAATGGTAGTGACCAAAATGCTGATAGAAATATAGACAGAAAAGGCTATATAGAGGAAGTCTCAGACGGAAATAAGAAACTTATTGGGCACTAGAGCAAAAGTCACCCTAGTTACACCTAGCAAGGAACTTGCTGCATTGTGTTCATGCCCTTGGACTTTGTGGAAGACCAAACTTAAGAGTGCTGTCTTAGAGTATCTGGCAGAAGAAATTTCTAAGCAGCAAAGCATTCAAGAAGTGGAATGGCTGCTTTTAACAGCTTACAATCAGACATAAGAGTAAAGGAATAAACTAAAGTTGAAACTTACTACTAAAAAGAAAGCAGAGCATAAAAATTTGGAAAGTTCACAGCCTAGCTGCATGTTCAAGAAAAAAAAAATTTTTCAGGTGAGGAATCCAATGATACCACAGAGCAACCACTTGCTAAAATGAAGCCAGGTTCTTACAGTCAAGACAATGAGAAAAAGGCCTTGAAATTATTTCAGAAATATTTGAGGCCACCCCTCCCTAGGTCCAGAGGCCTAGGAGGACAGAATGGTTTTGGAGAAATGGTCTGAGGTGCTGCTGACCTCTGAAGTCTATTCCCTGAATCTCTGCCACAGCTCAGAAGGCCCCAGATGCTACTTGGTCTGCCACTCTAACCAGAAGCCTTGACAGCTTCCACGTGGTGTTAAGTCTGAAAGTGTGCAGAATATAAGAGTTGGGGAGGCTTGGCAGCTTCCATCTAGATTTCAGAGGATGTATCTAAAAGTTTGGATGCACGAGCAGAAGCCTACTGCAGGTGTAGAGCCCCGCCCCCTCCCACCCAAGGAGACACAACCAAGGCAATGCAGAGCATAAATGTGGAGTTGGAGCCCCACAGACAATACTCTACCAAGGCACTGCCTAATGGAGCAGTGAAAGCAGGGTCACAGCACTCCAGACTCCAGAATGATGGAGTCATCAGCATGATGCAATCTCAGCCTAAAAAAGCAACAGGCATTGAACTCCAACCTGTGAGAACAGCCACACTGGCTCTGCCCAGAAAAGCCTGGGGATGAGGCGACACAAGGCCTGGGGAATCTACCCCTCACAACTGTGCCTAAGATGTAGGACATGGAGTCAAGGGATATGATTTTGGAGATTTAGAGATTACTGCCTGCCCTGATGGGTTTCAGACTTGGGTGGGAGCCTGTTATCCTTTTCTTTCGGCCATCTTCTCCCTCCTGGAATGGGATTGTTTTCCCAGTGCCTATACCACCATTGTACCTGGGGAGTAAAAATCTTGTTTAAATATTACTAGCTCACAGCTGAAAGGAACTTGCCTTGAGTCTCAGATGAGACCTTGGACTTTTGCGTTGATGCTGGAATAAATTAAGACTTTCTGATGGGATGATTGCATTTTGCAATACGAAAAAGACATGGGATTTGGGAGCCAAGGGTGGAATGCAACAGTTTGTACACGTTTTGTTTGGTTCTGTCAAGTCTAGTGTTAAAATTTTATCCCTGGTGTTGGAGGTGGGGTCTGATGGGAGGAGTCTGAGTAATGGGGGTGGATTTCTCATGAATGGTTTAGTGCCATTCTTGTGCCAGTGAGTTCTCACTCCATTTGTTCTCACAGGAGCTTTTTGTTAAAAGAGTCTGGCACCTCCCTCTCCTTCTTGCCTCCATTATCTTCAGGTGATTTCTGCAGAGACCAGCTCCCCTTTGCCTTCCACTAGGAGTGAAAACAGCCTGAAGCCCTCACCAGAAGCAGATGCCAGTGCCATGCTTCTTGTGCAACCTGCAGAACTGTGAGCCAAATAAATTCCCTAGCATCCAGTATTCCTTTACAGGAACACAAACAGACTCAGCCAACAACCATAGCAAGATAACTGTAGAACTTCTGTAGATTTGCCTTCAGATATTAAGTCCTGCATATTTACCAGTCTTATCAATTTTATTCATAGGGCATTCTTTCTTATTGCAATATCTTTTTTCTCTACTCTTCCTCCTCTCTCTTTCATATTTCTGACCCTTTTCCTTTTTCTCTCTCACCACACACACTACACACAGACACAAACACACATACACACCTCTTTATCTCTCTCTAAGTCTGCTCTCTTGCCTCCTGGTCTCTGTCCTACCTCTGTATTTCTATTGTTCTCTCTCTTTCCCTGTGTAGGCAGTGTTTGTGCCTCTCTCTGTGTAGGAAGTATCAAGGCAAGATAGAGGCCAAAAGTAAGATTCACACTTATATTGAGCACATAAGAAAGCAAACTGATTGGTAACATTCATTTTCAGGCTCTCAGCTTGCAATAAGTGCCCTAAGTTGGTAACATGGATCTAACTGGCTGACAACCCTCATATAGCATCAGAATAATAATACCAATACATCACACCTGAACAGTACTTTATATATTGCCATATGCTTTCAAATGGCATTTAATTTGCTGGAAGTCAGCATTATTTATTCACAAGTGCATGCTTTTCCAGACACAAACATACAGAAATACCTCACATATTAGAGTTAATTTGTTTAGCAACCTCACCTACTCAGAATGTAACTAACTTAAAAAAATAAGCCCACTATTTTTAAAGGCCTTTAAGAAACTAAAGACAAGCAGTTGTCGCAGATCCATAAATTAAAGTTTAGCAGTAGGATGTGTATAAGAAAAAGCACAGAGCATTGTATTTGAATTATTCATTCATCCACAAATATTTACTGAGTGTCCACTACGTGAGGAAACACTCTAGGCGATTAAAAAAAATAACATTGAAAACATAAACCTGCCTAAATGGAGCTTTCATTCTTGGGGAGTAGATGGGGCAAACAAAGGAAAATGAGCAAAATTTGTAATACAGTAGAGGGTGAGAAGTTCTAAAGAAAAAAATAAACCAGGAAAGTGAGAGAATTATTGCCAGAGAAGGAGAAACAGCAATGAATGTATTTATTAAGAGGTGACATTTGGGTAAAATAGCCTGATGCTACCATTTCTTCTCAGTTTACTCATCTTTAAAATAGAAAAAAATAATAACTGTTTCACAAAATACTGAAAGTTTTAAATAAACAAATATACCTTATCACATAGCCTGAAACTCATTCATTACTCAATAAGTAGATACGTCTTGATCTCACAAATTTCAATCATCACAGAGATCCTTATCTATTCAGAACCCATTTTTCTATAATTCAATGTAATTTTAACAAGGTTTATTTTCCCATCTTATTTATTTATTTACTTTTTATTGTTTTGAGATGGAGTCTCACTCATTCTGTCACCCAGGCTGGAGTGCAGTGGCATGATCCCGGCTCACTACAACCTCCGCCTCCCAGGTTCAAGTGATTATCATACCTCAGCCTCCTGAGTAGCTGGGATTACAGTGCCTGCCACCACACCTGCCTAATTTTTGTATTTTTTGTAGAGATGACATTTTGCCAAGCTGGCTAGGCTTGTCTCAAACTCCTAGCCTCAAGTGATCTACCCACCTTGGTCTCCCAAAGTGCTGGGATTACAGCCATGAGCCACTGTACCTGGCCTATTTTCTTATTTCTAAGCTCAGATATTTTAAGAAAGTATGTATGAATATACATGAATATGTGTGTATATATGTGCGTGTGTGTGTATGTGACATCCATTTGGGTTTGCACTACAAATTTAGACTTCCTGTGGTCTACAAACTCCCAAGCCAAGAAATTTACCTAAAAATTTATCTTAGGATATGATACCTCTGATGTAATTGGAAGAACCAAACATAAACTTCTCTAAAACCCTTGTCTCCAACTCAGTCCTCCCAGAATGTTATATCCTTATATTAGTCCAGAATGTTATATCCTTATATTAGCCTTTATAGACTTTCACAAGTAATGTCTCACAAACGATGAGCTCATAACCCCAAATTAGTGAATCATGAGGAAATAATCTACCATTAGTGAGATTCTACAAACACATAAAAATGATGACGAGAATCAAAACCAAAACCAAACCAAAACAAAACAGAAAAATGTAGGCAATAAAAATATCTGATAAAAATCTATAAAATACATTCTTCAAGAATATTTAAGAACTAAAAAAGAAATTGAAACCATAAAATGAATACAACTCTGTAAATAATGCCTTAGAATTTTGGGGACTGACATTAACAAGATAGCAGGATAGGAGTTTTCAGCACTTACCTTTCAAAGAAACATCAGTTTGAACTATTATCCATGCATGAAGATACCTTCATAAGAGCTAAGGAACCCAGGTGAAAGATTATGGCACCTGGTTGAAACACAGAAATAAGGAAAGACACATTGAAGAGGGAAAAAAAGACAGTTCCACATTACCCATATCATTTACCCATGACTCAAGCCTGTGCAGCATGCACAGAGAGAGATACCCTCTGTGTGGAGGAAGGAGAGTGAAGTGGACACCCAACTTTGCCACAGACCAGAGGACTGGACCAGCCCCAATGAACCTTAGAGCCAGCCCCTGCAGCTCCAGGCCCGCTCCAACACCAGGCCAGCTCCACAACTCCCCCAGGCCAGCCCCTAATCACCCAGACTCCATACAAGCCTATCTCAGCTCCAGGACACCCTCTACATATGGAGGCTCCAGGGCTGCTCCAGAACCAGGCCCATGTCTTATAGACCAAGGTACCGGGCCCAAATGCCCACTGATCAGGCACCAAGCCAGACTGCCCAAGGACTCCAGCGGCAAACCTGCCCATAGGCCTCACCAGCTGTTCCAACCTGAATCCCTAGACAGGCTTATTTGTAAAGGGCTTTCCATGCTGAAGTCTGTTGCAAAGACTATAAGATGCCTACTTCCTCAAATGCACCGATAGCAACACAAATCCACGATGATCACAAACAATCAGGGGACCTTGACGCCAACAAAGGAACAAAATAAAGCACTAGTAACTGGCCCTAAAGAATTTGAGATCTAGAAACCATGTGACAAATATTTCAAAATAATCATCATAAAGAAGTTCCATCAATGATACAAGAACACAGAGAGAAAACTAAATGAAATCATGAGGAAATAATATATCATGAGTGAGATTCAACAAACACATAAAAATGATGATGAGAAAACCAAAACCAAACCAAAGCAAAAAATTTTAGGTAATAAAAATATCTGATAAATTCTATAAAATACATCCTTCAAGAATATTTAAGAATTTAAAAAGACATTGAGTTGTAAAATATGTTTCTATAAAAGCAAACTTTCTTGACATGATACAAGGGTTATTTTTAGGACAATGTAATTAATGGAGGTGTTATAACCATTTCTTAACGAGTCAGGAAAAAGTCAAGAAGGCCTGCTATTCAAACTTGCGCTGATGTCTTAGGCCATACAATTAGCAAGAGAAAAAAAACACATAAAGATTTAAAAAGAAGTAAAAGAAAGAAATAAGACTCTTAGTATTCACTGACTATACAATTGATTCAACAGAAACATTTGAGAAAATCTAAAAATTATTAGTATTAAAAAGAGAGTTCAGTACATTTGCTAGACATAAAATCAATACATAAAACCAAATTGAACTTTTAGAAAATATGATTAAGCAGACTTCCGCCAAGATGGCCAAATAGGAACAGCTCCAGTCTGCAGTTTCCAGAGAGAGCATGCCAGAAGACAGGTGATCTCCAAATTTCCAACTGAGGTACCAGGTTCATCTCATTGGGACTGGTTAGACACTAGGAATAGCCCAAGGTGGGCAAGCTGAAGCAGGGTGGGGCATTGCCTCAGCTGGGAGGCACAAGGGCCTGGAGAACACTCTCTTCCAGCCCAGGGAGGTCATTAGGGACTTTTCCTGCCACTCTAGCACTCTGGCTCAGATGCTGCGCTTTTCCCACAGTCTATACAACCTGCAGACCAGGAGATTCCCTCCAGTACCTACAATGCCAGCACCCCAGGTTTCCAGCACAAAACTAGGTGGTCGTTTTAGTCAAGTGGTGCCCAGAATGCCATCAAGACAAAACTGCTCATTCCCCTGAAAAAAGGGGCTGAAGTCAGGGAGCCAAATGAGCTGGCTCAGTGGCTCCCACCCCCACAAAGACTGGCAAGCTAAGATCCACTGGCTTGAAATTCTCGCAGCCAGCACAGCAATCTGAGCTCTACCTGGGACATTAGAGCTTGGTGGGGGGAGGGGCACCCCCCATTGCTGAGGCTCCAGTAGGCTGTGTAAACAAAGCCAAGGGGAAGTTTACACAGCAACTGGGAAGAGCCCAGCACAGCACCTCAGCAAGCCCTCTGCAGGCAGACAGTCAGGTAGATTCCCTTCTTGCTCAGCCGAGCATCTCTGAAAAACATGACAGCAGGCAATCAGGGACTTACAAAGCCCCCACCTCCCTGGGACAGAGCACCTGGGAAAAGGGGTGATTGTCGGTTCCACTTCAGCAGACTTAAATGTCCCTGCCCAGCAGCCCTGAAAGTAGCAACAGATCCCCCAGCATAGTGCTTGAGCTCTGTGAAGGGACAGGCTGCCTCCTCAAGAGGCTCCCTGACCCCCGTGTATCCTGACCCCCGTGGGACACACATCATACAGGAGAGCTATGGCTGACAACTGGCAGGTACCCTTTTGGGATGAAGCTACCAGAGGAAGGAACAGGCGGCGATCTTTGAAGCCCCACAGGTGATTCCCAGGCAAGCAGGGTCTCGAGTGGACTTCCAGCAAACTCCAGCAGACCTGCAGCAGAGGGGCCTGACTGTGAGAAGGAAACCTAACAAACACAAAGAAATAGCTTCAACATCAACAGAAAGGATGTCCACTCAGAAACTCCATCCAAATGTCACCAACTTCAAAGACCAAAGGTAGATAAAGCCACAAAAATGAGAAGGAACCAGTGCAAAAAGGCTAAAATCGCCCAGAACCAGAACACCTGTTCTCCTCTAAGGGATCACAATCCCTCACCAGCAAGGGAACAAAACTGGATGGAGAATGAGTTTGACAAACTTGGAGAAGCAGGCTTCAGAAGGAGGGTAATAACAAAATTCTATAAGCTAAAGGTGCATGTTCTAACCCAATGCAAGGAAACTAAGAACCTTGAAGAATGGTTAGATGAAATGCTAACTAGAATAACCAACGTAGAGAACATAAACGACTTGATTGAGCTGAAAAACACAGCATGAGAACTTGGTGAAGCATATACAAGTTTCAATAGCCAAATCGATCAAGTGGAAGAAAATATATCAGAGATTGAAGATCAACTCAATGAAATAAAGTGAGAAGGCAATATTGGAGAAAAAAGAGTGAAAAGAAATGAACAAAGCCTCCAAGAAATATGGGATTATGTGAAAAGACCAAATCTATGTTTGATTGGTGTACCTGAAAGTGATGGGGAGAACGAAATCAAGTTGGAAAACATTCTTCAGGATATCATCCAAGAAAACTTTCCCAACCTAGCAAGGCAAATCCAGGAAATACAGAGAACACCACAAAGCTATTCCTTGAGAAGAGCAACCCCAAAGCACATAATAGTCAGATTCACCAGGGTTGAAATGAAGGAACAAATGCTAAGGGAAGCCAGAGAGAAAGGTCAGGTTACCCACAAAGGGAAGCGCATCAGACTCACAGCATATCCTTCAGCAGAAATCCTACAAGCCAGAAGAGAGTGGGGGCCAATATTCAACATCCTAAAAGAAAAGAATTTTCAACCCAGAATTTCATATCCACCTAAACTAAGCTTCATAAGTGAAGGAGAAATAAAATCCTTTACAGACAAGCAACTGCTGAGAGATTTCATCACCACCAGGCCTGGCCTACAAGAACTCCTGAAGGAAGCACTAAATATGGAAAGGAACAACCAGTACTAGCCACTGCAAAAACATACCAAACTGTAAAGACTATGGACACTATGAAGAAAATGCATTAACTAACGGGCAAAATAACCAGCTAGCATCAAAATGGAAGGACCAAATTCACACATAACAATATTAACCTTAAATGTAAATCGGCTAAATCCCCCAATCAAAAGACACAGACTGGCAAATTGGATAAAAAGTCAAGATCCATTGGTGTGCTGTATTCAGGAAACCCATCACACATGTAAAGACACACATAGGCTCAAAATAAAGAGATGGAGGAATATTTACCAAGCAAATGGAGAGCAAAAAAAGCAGGGGTTGCGATCCTAGTCTCTGGTAAAACAGACTTTAAACCAACAGTGATCAAAACAGACAAGAAGGGCATTACATAGTGGTAAAGGGATTCATGCAACAAGAAGAGCTAACTATTCTAAATATATATGCACCCAATACAGGAGCACACAGATACATAAGCAAGTTCTTAATTACCTACAAAGAGACTTAGATTCCCACACGATAATAGTGGGAGATGCCCCACTGTCAATACTAGATAAATCAATGAGACAGAAAAATTAACAATAATATCTAGGACTTGAACTCAGATCTGGACCAAGTGGACCTAATAGACACCTACAGGACTCTCCACCCCAAAACCTCAGAATATACATTCTTCTTGGCACAACATTGCACTTACTCTAAAATTGACCACATAATTGGAAGTAAATCACTCCTTAGTGAATACAAAAGAACAGAAATCATAACAACCAGTCTCTCAGATCACAATGCAATCAAACTAGAACTCAGGATTAAGAAACTCACTCAAAACCACACAGCTACATGGAAACTAAACAACCTGCTCATGGATAAATAGCGAAAGGCAGAAATAAAGATGTTCTTTGAAACCAGTGAGAACAAAGACACAACATACCACAATCTCTGGGACACATTTAAAGGAGTGTCTAGAGGGAAATTTATAGTGGTAAATGCCCACCAGAGAAGTGAGGAAAGATATAAAATCGACACCCTAATGTCACAATTAAAAGTACTACAGGAGCAAGATCAAACAAACTCAAAAGCTAGCAGAAGGCAAGAAATAACTAAGATCAAAGCAGAACTGTAGGAGATAGAGACACAACAAACCCTTCAAAAAATCAGTAAATCCAGGAGCTAGTTTTTTGAAAAGATCAATGCAATAGATAGACCAATAGCCAGACTAATAAAGAAGAAAAGAGAGAAGAAACAAATAGAGGCAATGAAAAATGATAAAGGGGATATCATCAGCAATCCCCCAGAAATACAAACTACCATCAGACATTACTACAAACACCTCTATGCACATAAACCAGTAAATCTAGAAGAAATGGAAAAATTCCTGGACATTTACACCCTCCCAAGACTAATCTAGGAAGAAGTTGAATTCCTGAATAGACCAATAACAAGGTCTAAAGCTGAGGCAAAAATTAATAGCCTACCAACCAAAAAATGTCCAGGACCAGATGGGTTCACAGCCAAATTCTACCAGAGGCGCAAAGAGGAGCTGGTACCATTCCTTCTGAAATGATTCCAAACAATAAAAAAAGAGAGAATCCTCCATAACTCATTTTATGAGATCAACATCATCCTGATACCAAAAGCTGGGAGAGACACAACTAGAAAAGAATATTTCAGACCAATATCCATGATGAATATTGATGTAAAAATATTCAATAAAATACCCTCAAACCAAATCCAACAGCATATCAAAAAGCTTATCCATCACAATCAAGTTCGTTTCATCCCAGTGATGCAAGGTTGGTTCAACATCCACAAATCTATAAACATAATCCATCACATAAACAGAACCAAAAAAAAACCACGATTATCTCAATAGATGCAGAGAAGCCCTTTGACAAAATTCCACAACCCTTTATGCTATCAATAAACTAAGTTTTGAAGGATTGTATCTCAAAATAATAAGAGTTACTAATGACAAACCCACAGCCAATATCATACTGAATGGGCAAAAACTGAAAGCATTCCCTTTGATAACTGGCATAAGACAAGGATGCCCTTTCTCACCACTTCTATTAAACATAGTATTGGAAGTTCTGGCTAGGGCCATAAGGCAAGAGAAAGAAATAAAGCGTATTTCAATAGGAAGAGAGGACATCAAATTGTCCCTGTTTGCAGATGACATGATAGTATATTTAGAAAACCCCATCGTCTCAGCCCAAAATCTCCTTAAGCTGATAAGCAACTTCAGCAAAATCTCAGGGTGAAAGTCTAGTTTCATCCATGTCCCTGCAAAACTGCAAGCATTACTATATACCAATAATAGACAAACAGAGAGCCAAATCATGAGTCAACTCCCATTCACAATTGCTACAAAGGGAATAAAATACCTAGGAATACAACTAACAAGGGTTGTGAAGGACCTCTTCAAGGAGAACTACAAATCACTGCTCAAGAATTAAGAGAGGACACAAACAGATGGAAAAACATTCAATGCTCATGGTTAGGAAGACTCAATATCGTGAAAATGGTCATGCTGCCCTAAGTAATTTATAGATTCAGTGCTATCCCCATAAAGCTACCAAAGTCTTCCTAGACAGAATTGGAAAAAACCACCTTAAACTTCATATGGAGCCAAAAAAGAGCCCACACGGCCAAGACAATCCTAAGCAAAAAAAAAAAACAGCTGGAAGCATCGCATATCTGACTTCAAAGTATATTACAAGGCTACTGTTATCAAAACAGCATGGTACTGATGCCAAAACAGAGATATAGACTAATGGAACAGAACAGAGGTCTCACATAGAACACCACACAACGACAATCATCTGATCTTCGGCAAACCTGACAAAAACAAGCAACGGGGAAAAGATTCCCTGTTTAATAAATGGTGTTGGGAGACTGGCTAGCCATATGCAGAAAGCTGAAACTGGATCCTTTCCTTACACCTTATACAAAAATTAACTCTAGATGGATTAAAGATTTAAACATGAGAACTACCACCATAAAAACTCTAGAAAAAAACCTAGGCAATACGATTCAGGACATAGGCATGGTCAAGGACTTCATGACTAAAACACCAAAAGCAATAGCAACAAAAGCCAAAATAGACAAATGGGATCAAATTAAACTTAAGAGCTTCTGCATAGCCAAAAAAAAAAACTATCAATAGAGTGAGCAAGCAACCAACAGAATGGGAAAAAATTTTTGCAATCTATCCATCTGACAAACAGCTAATATCCAGAATCTACAGAGAACTTAAATTTACAAGAAAAAACAATCAAAAAAACCCATCAAAAAGTGTGCAAAGGATATGAACAGACACTTTTCAAAAGAAGACATTTATGCAGCCAACAAACATATTTTTAAAAGCTCATCGTCACTGGTCATTAGAGAAATACAAATCAAAACTACATTGAGATACCACCTCATGGCTAATTAGAAGGACAATCATAAAAAAATCAGGAGACAACAGATGCTGGAGAGGACGTGGCGAAATAGGACACTTTTACACTGTTGGTGGGAGTGTAAATTAATTCAACCAGTGTGGAAGACAGTGTGGTGATTCCCTAAGGATCTAGAAATAGAAATTCCATTTGACCCAGCAATCCCATTACTGAGTATATACCCAAAGGATTATAAATCATTCTACTATAAAGATACATGTACATGTATATTTATTGCAGCACTATTCACAACAACAAAGACTTGGAACCACCCCAAATGCCCATCAATGATAGACTAGATAAAGAAAATGTGGCACATATACATTATAGAATACTATGCAGCCATAAAAAAGGATGAGTTCATGTCCTTTGCAGGGACATGGATGAATCTGGAAACCACCATTCTCAGCAAACTGACACAAGAACAGAAAATCAAACACCACATGTTCTCACTTGTAAGTGGGTGTTGAATGAAGAGAACACACAGATACAGGGAGGGGAACATCATACACCAGAGCCTGGGGTGGAGGCTAGGGGAGCAATAGCAGGGAGCGGAGGGACAGCATTAGGAGAAATACCTAATGTAGCTGACGGGGTGATTGATGCAGCAAACCACTTCCATGGCGCATGTACACCTATGTAACAAACCTGCACAATCTGCACTTGTACCCCAGAACTGAAAGTATAATAAATAAATTTTAAAATAAATAAATACAACTCCCAAACGTAAAAACAATTTAAAAAAAACAAGAAAATGTGTTTAATAAAAGAAATATTTATAGTAGCAGCAATTTATAAGATATCCAGAAATAAATTACAAATTGCAATGATATTCAAGACCTTAAGATAGAAATTGGAACTTTAGCCAAGTGTGGTGGCTCATACCTGTAATTCCAACAGTTTGTGAGGCTGAGAATAATTCTTGAGTTCAGGAATTTGAGACCAGCCTGGGCAAAAGAGTGAGACCCCAAATCTATAAGAAAAAAAAAAATTGTATTGAAAATCATAAAAGATGTAATTCCAATCAAAATCCCAACTGGAAACTGCATAGAATTTTCAAAGGCCAACCCTCACTTATATGGAAGATCACCAAGTCAAGAATGGCAGATATAACTGTGAAAAAAACAATCAAGGAGAAATCATTTCATTAGGCATTAAGACCTACTATGCAGGCCAGGTGCAGTGGCTCACACCGCTTATCCTAGCCCTTTGGGAGGCCAAGAAGTGGATCACCTGAGGTCAGGAGTTCAAGACCAGCCTCGCCAACATGGCGAAATCCTGTCTCTACAAAAATACAAAAATTAGCCAGGTATGGTAGTGGGTATCTACAATACCAGCTACTCAGGAGGCTGAGGCAGGAGAATCACTTGAACCTGGGAGGCAGAGGTTGCAATGAGCAGAGATTGTGACACTGCACTCCAGCCTGGGAGAAAGAGGAAGTTTCCGTTTCAAAAAAAAGACCTACTATGCAAATGCTAAAACTATGATGAAAGAACTGATGAGTAATTCATTGGGTCAGAATAGCATACCTAAAAGCAGATCTACATAGAGGATCTTGGCATATAACAGAAAGCCTAAAAATTAGTATAAATGGTAATGGCTGAGTAGGTACTACAAAATCTACCATTTGCAGATTCAGTCACATTTTTAAAATTCAATATCTTTAGAAAAACAGAACAGAATACAGACTCCATAAAATTACATTCACAATGTTTAGGATACAATCCTAAATTATTCTACATGCAAAGAACAAGAAAAGTGTGACTCGTTCTCAAGAGATAATAAAAATCAAAAGAACTCAGACTTAAGGTGACTCAGATGTTAGAATTAGTAGACAATACTTTTAAAGAAACTATTATAACTATGCTTCACATAAAAGAAAATACATTGGTAATGAATGAAAAGATAGAAAACCCTAGCAGAGAAATAGAAACTATAGGAAAATAACCAAGTGGATATTCTAACGCTAAAAAATACAATACAGTCCTTTCCTTTCCTGTGGTTGCTGTAACAATTATCACAAACTGGTTAGCTTAAAACAATAGAATTTATGATCTCACGATTCTGGAGGCCAGAAGTCTAAAATCAAAGTCTCAGCAAGGCTACACTTGCTCTGGAGATCTAAAAGACATTCCTTTTATTGTGCTTTCTAGCTTTTGATGACTGTTGACATTTCTTGTCTATGGCTCTATCACTACAGTCTTTGCCACTGTGCTCACAATGCCTCCTCTTCTTATATCTGGCAAATCACCATTGTGTGCCTCTTACAAAATTACTTGTCACTGAATTGAAAGCCCACCCAGATTATCCAGGGTGATCTCTTCATCTCAAGATCTTTAACTTAATTACATCTGAAATGACTGGGTTTTTTGTTGTTGTTTTTCCAAAAGAAGGTAACATTCACGGGTTCCAGGGATTTGTGTAGATATCTTCTGGGAGACCACTTTTCACCCTTGTAACATGAAATCTCCAAAATAAGAAAGAAAAAATAATGTACTGGATGAACTGATAGTGGCATGGAGAGTCAGCAAATTCAAAGAAAGAGCAACAGAAATTATTCAAAATGAAGAAAGAATAGAAAAAATAATGAAAAGAACCTCAGGAGCCTATAGGGCAATATCAGAAGAGCTAACATATGTATAACTGGACTTGTTAGAAGGAGAGGGAGAGAAGATGAAGGAGAAAGTCCTTTGTAGAAATAATGGTCAGAAATTTTCCAAAGTCTGTGAAAGATATACATTTACAGATTCAAAAAGCTTTGCAAACCCCTAGCAGAATTAACAAATCTAGGCAAGATTTCTGCATTTCATATGAAGTTGTGCGATATTAATTCTAAGTAGATTATGTGGAAATTGACCGGGAACATATATGAGGAAACATTCCACGTTGATGGTAACGTTTTGATCTTGATAAAGGTTTGAATTACAGAAGTTTATGCCTTTAGCAAAAGTCTGCAAACATACACTTAAGATTTTTACATTGGTCAACATGGTGAAACCCCGTCTCTACTAAAGACACAAAAAATTAGCTGGGCATGGTGGCGTGTGTCTGTAATCCCAGCTACTCAGGAGGCTGAGGCAGGAGAATTGCCTGAACCCAGGAGGTGGAGGTTGCGGTGAGCCGAAATCGTGCCGTTGCACTCCAGCCTGGGTAACAAGAGCGAAACCCCGTCTCAAAAAAAAAAGATTTTTACATTTTATTGCATGTAAATTTTACCTGAAAATAAAAAAAGTAAACAATATTGAACTATAGTTAATATATGCATGCTATAATGTTAAAGAGAAAGTACACCCATGTATGCATTTTAATTTTAAATGCATGAAAAATAGGGGAAATTGGTAAACGGATAGAAGGATGAACTGATGAATAGATATTTGATAAAGCAATTACAGCAAATGTTAATGACAGAATCCAGGTGGTGTAGATACAAGAGTTCACCAGAAAATTCTTTTAACTTTGCTGTATGTTTGATATATTTCACATGAAGATTTTGGAGGAAAAAACAATGGGAAAATAAAATAATAGTTAATATATAGTTCTGAGTCAATGGATTATCCATATAGAAAAAAGATTAAATAAAATTCTGACTTTGTGTGATACATTAAAATAAATTCCAGAGGGTTTTAAACAACTAAATGTGAAAAGCAAAATTATAGTTTTGCAAAATTATATACATTTTGAAAAATGTATATAATAAATATAGAAAAAACATATTTGTATGAAATAAAGTAGGAAAAGATGTCTTAAGATACAAAGTTACATGCCATAAGAAAAGATATTGGTATGTTTGGTTGCATTAAAATTTAAATTTCTACATGACCAAAAAAAAAAATCCTACCATAAACAGAGGGAAAAACAAGGTGAGACTGGGACAAGGTCTTTGTAACTCAAGTAAATTACGATAGTATTCAGAAATATGAGGAACATCTAAAAATTAATGGGAATAAAATAAATAAACATGCTAATTTTTTTTTTTGATGGAGTCTCGCTCTGTCACCCAGGCTGCAGTGCAGTGGTGCAATCTTGGCTCACTGCAACCTCCACCTCCCAGGTTCAAGCAATTCTCCAGCCTCAGCCTCCTGAGTAGCTGGGATTACAGGCATGCACCACCATGCCCAGCTAATTTTTGTATTTTTAGTAGAGACAGGGTTTCACCATGTTGGCCAGGCTTGTCTCGAATTCCTGACCTCAGGTGATCTGCCCACCTAGGCCTCCCAAAGCTGGGATTACAGGGGTGAACCACTGCACCTGGCCATATTTAGTTTTTTTTTTTCTTTTTTTCTTTTTTCTTTTTTAAGGTGGAGTCTTCCTCTTTCGCCCAGGCTGGAGTGAAATAGTGCCATCTCAGCTCACTGCAACCTCCACCCCCCAACCCCCTGGGTTCAAGCAATTCTCCTGCCTCAGTCTCCCAAGTAGCTGGGATCACAGGCACCTGCCACCACACCTGGCTAATTTTTGTATTTTTAGTAGAGATGGGGTTTCACCTTGTTGGCCAGGCTGATCTCAAACTCCTGACCTCAGGTGATCTGCCTGCCTCGGCCTCCCAAAGTGCTGGGATTACAGGCGTGAGCCATGAGCCATCGCGCCTGGGCAATTTTTTTTTTAAATAAATGAGAGTTGTTGTTGTTGTTTTTAATATATTTAATATATTGCCCAGGCTGGCTTCAAATTCGTAGCCTTGCCTCAGGTTCCAGGACAACAGGCCTGAGCCACTGCAGCTCCCTCTTTTGTTTGTTTTTGAGACAGGGTCTTGCTCTGTTGCCAGACTGGAGTGCAGTGACACAGTCTCGGCTCACTGCAACCTCCACCTCCTGGGTTCAAGCAATTCTCCTGTCTCAGCTACTGAGTAGCTGGGACTACAAGCGCCTGCCACAACACCCAGCTAACTTTTGTATTTTTAGTAGAGACAGGGTTTCAGTATGTTGGCCAGGATGGTCTCAATCTCTTTTTTTTTTTTTTTTTTTTTTTGAGACGGAGTTTCGCTCTTGTAACCCAGGCTGGAGTGCAATGGCGCGATCTCGGCTCACCGCAACTTCCGCCTCCTGGGTTCAGGCAATTCTCCTGCCTCAGCCTCCTGAGTAGCTGGGATTACAGGCACACGCCATCATGCCCAGCTAATTTTTAGTATTTTTAGTATAGACAGGGTTTCACCATGTTGACCAGGCTGGTCTCATTCTCTTGACCTCGTGATCTACCGGCCTCGGCCTCCCAAAGGCATGAGCCACTGTGCCAGGCCAATTTTTTAAGAAAGATAAAGGATTTGAAACAATTCAAGAAGAAAACCAAATAGTCAATAAAACTATTTATTTTTTATAAATAAATTTATAAAAACTGCTTAATTACATTATTACTCAAATAAATGCCAAGTAACATGAAGATGAAATGCTGACGTATACTATTAGACTATTAAAAGTAAGTCTGAAAAGATTCTATTTTCAAAGATGTAGTGAAACAGAAAATCTTTTGCGCTGCTGGGTGGGAGTATAAATTGCCACAACCACTTTGAGAGCTGTCTGGCACCACCTAGTAGAGCTGATTGTGTGTATAATAGGCATTACCGTATTGGATACACTTTCTATGCCTCCCCATTTTCTCCTGCACCATCAGCTCCTTGCCCCAATTCAGCTGCTTTCACTACAGCCAGCTCCATATAGGCTTGTGAAGTTCCACCACCTGACACTGACTAGCCAGAATCAGAAGTCTTTGGCTCTTCCTATCACTTCCTACTCAGCAAAAGCATCTGGCCACAGGAGAGTAAGAAGTGGAGAAGCAGGGCCGGGAGTAGAATCTGGCTTCTTGAAACAGCATTAATGATGTAATCTAAAGGCGCAGAGTGACTTACTCCCCTTGGAATGAGGTTTGTCCTTAAGAAAAAGTAGAAAAATGAGAGCTAGCAGATCAATTTCCTCTTTCCTCCTCCAATGGACTGCTCCTAGGAATCCCTTTCCTTACAGCCTATCCAGAGACACTCCA